GGCGGGGCCGGCGCGCGGGGCCTGCGCGCGGGCAAGATGGCGGCGGGCGGGGAGCTGCTGCTCAACGTGTGCTCGGCGCCCGGGCGGGTAGGGGCGGCCGCGGGAGGCTGGAGGCGGGCTGGGCAGCGGCCCGGCAGCGTGCCCCGCTCTAGAGCGCCGTTTTGGGGGAGAAAAGGGTGAAATGAGGGATTTGGGTGAGCGGGACCCGGAGGGGGCGGCGGGAGCGGAGTGTGCGCGGGGAGGCGGCGGGAAGGAGCAGAGTTTTGGTGCGGGGGCGTGAGGGAAACGGGAGCGGGGCAGGAACGGAGGAGAGCGGGGCAGGCCTGCGGGACGGTGGCTCGGTTCAGGAGTTTTGCAGATATTTTAGAAGAAAATCCCCTGAAAGTAGCCTGGGGGAGAGAAGAGGGGCTCGGGAGTAGGAGGAAGGTCCCTTGACTTTCTTTGTCGCTGTTCCTGATGGGATATGGGGCCAGCAGCTCCTTAAAGCCACGGGAAGAGCAACGGGGAATTTATCACTGCAAAAACAGAGCTTGGAAACCCAAAAGCCAGTGCTGGGAGCACGGGCCTGGGTGCAGGACAGGCCTTCCCTTCTGCCGCGAGTCTGCAGGGGCGGCTTCGGTGCAAGCAGGACACTGAGCTTTAGAGGCAGATTTTTAAAGGGATTTCTCTTCAGTTACATCAGAAATTAGGTGAAATCCCTGAGTGAGGAGCCCTTTGCACAATTTCCAATTGCTGTTTGCATCGCAGCACTATTCAGACGTCTTAGATGTGATGCAGCACCTCCACAGGAGTGTGTGGTTTATTCACTGGTCCAAAGAGCTCAGATAGAGCTGCAAACATTGGGCTTTATTTCTTTAGTCATGGGACAGAGGATCCCGAAAAGAAGGGTCTGTGATCTTCTGATCCCGAAAAGAAGGATGAACTGATGTATGTGATTAACATGTATAAAATACGATATTTTGTCATTAATTCACGTGTATTAATGCATTCCTTGTTATCTGTTTTGTTAACACCAAAGCAGTCTAAGGCTCCTAAAAGAAGGCTTCAGTCACCGCAAGGAAACCCACCTTTAAAACGGAAATGTAAACCTCCAGTAAGCTCCTTCAAGAAGAGCGCTACAGAAAACCCACCCTTAAAACCAAAATGTAAACCTCCAGTAAACTCCTTCAAGAAGAGCACTACAGAAGCTGACACCAGGGGAAAGGGAAACTCTTCAAAAAAACCTCTTCCAAAGAAGAAGTTGTTGGATGACCACAATGAGAACTTGAAAAACAGACCTTTCATTAAGACCTCCAGCTTGTTTAAAAACAACCCTGATGTCCCACAAATTCACAGGTAATTTAGACAAGTGTGTAGGGGGAACCTTTCTTTGTAACAATCTTGAGTTCTTGCCCTTGCTCAGGCAAAGACATTACTTGGTACATGTATCTTCCCTGGTATTTACACAGGCTATTGTCATATACTTTGTAATAACATCATGCCTTTGTTTCTCCTAACCCCTAGAAAAGCAGTGCAGCAAGTGCAAGAAGATATTTTCACTTCAGATTCTTTCGACCAGCTGGACCTCCATCCACATCTGGTGAGTGGCAGGAAGGCTGCATGCTGTGGAGAATGCTATTTAAGGGGAGAATTTATTCCTATATTCTTGGGAACTTCTGCCCATTCAGTAGTGCTCTATACACACACACACACAAACACACATACATATACACACACATATACACAGTGTTTTATAATGCACTAGCAGTGATACAGAAGTATTTTGAGGACCTGGGAACTTTCCATCCAGCTTCTCTGGGGTAGTGATCCAGAGGATAAGGATCATTATTCTGTTCTTTGCATCTGTCCTGTAGAGACAGTGAGAATTTTATAACAAAACTTATTTATTACTGTTAATTATCTCTTCAGATATCCACAATAACCACTGTCTTGAAGATATGTAGCATGACCAGGTAAGCAAATCCAAACTAAACTTTGATAGGTGCTGCCCCTTAGTAACAATTATTTATGATTGTTTTGTTATGTGTAATTGGTGCCTGTAGCAACACAGTAGCAATGTAGTTTGCTGCTTTCAAATTCTGGCACAAGTGATTGTCATAGCTGGAGTTGGACTCTAGGAGTACTGGCTCCTAATTTGATTTTTTGAACGTAAATTTTTTTTTTTTTTTTTTACTTTATTATTGTTTTCCAATTTACCACACCTGATATGTGTCTGTAGTCTTTCCTTAGAATCTAGCAGGGATGGAAAGCATGGAGTTTGGGGTAAACAGTTTTGAAACAGTGATGATTTGCTGAAACCTTAGGCTTTTATGTTGTGTGTTGGACCAGTGTTTCCCAACCTGTTTTATTTGTTGTATAGTGTTCAGAAGCAAACGATTCCTGTGCTGATACAAGGCAAAGATGCTTTAGTGAGATCTCAAACCGGTTCAGGTAGGTGTGTAACTGCAGTCTTCCTTCCTATGGCATGTTAAGTTGGATTCCTTAAACAGAACAAAACATCCCATCTCAGTGCAGGTTATGAAAGTAAACCCTATCTCATTTCCCTGGGTGGCTAGAGCTATTTGTGTACATGGGTGTCAGTGGATACCACCCTCCCTCTTCTTTAGTTCCTTGGTGTTATGGCCTATCAGATGTCTCTTTTGGAAAAATTCAGCTTATTAGAAAATGTTTCCAAACTCTGACCTCTGTTAAAGTATGATAGGTTGAATGTTACTTTTTAATGCCACCTAATTTGTAGGAGTATTGCCCTTTCCACGTTTTTTTTTAGTGATGGAAACTTCTCCATTTTTTTTTCCTTTTTATAAAGGTAAAACTCTGGCCTATGGGATTCCACTTGTACAGTCCTTGCAAGGAGTGAAACCCAAAATACAGGTAGGTGCAACAAGAGCTGGAAAGATTTGCCTTTGATGTTATGATTAATAAAAATAGGTTAAATTACAGTTGTTCTCTTCAGTCACCCATGTTTCTTGTTACAAGTGTCAAACAGTCTCCCTTTCTATGTGCATGTTGCTAATATGATCCTTCTATACTGTTGAGATACAGGTGATAAAACAATTTCAAGTGTTACACATTCCTCTTCCTGCAGCAGATAAATGCCAGCCTGGACTAAATGCATCTCTGCTAGATGGTTTTCAGACTTCACAGAATTCACTTTGTCAGCTACTAGAAATCAGAAATGGAAATGCTGTTTCTATCAGTTCTACCTCCTTAGTGATTCTCTTGTGTTCTCTCTTTGCAGCGCAGCGATGGGCCTTATGCACTTGTATTAGTCCCAACAAGAGAGGTAGGTGGCCCTTTCTGGTCTGGTCTGAACCTGAGTTTTTGATCATTTGCCTTTAGTGCAGCAGCTTTGGAGCCATCGGGGCTGAGGACCATCTTGGGAAATGGTGTCTCCCCTTCTGCTCAGATCTTGCCCTCACAGAATGAATATTTGCTTTCTGGGTGAACATTGTCATTTTTCATCGGTGCCACAGAGAAGTGAGGAGAAATCTCTGCATTTTCCAATGCAGTTAGAAATCTATTGGGAAGACTGGGGAAATGCCTTAGCTCAGAGTAAGGAGGGGAGAAACTTGCCTAGCTCACATAGGAGAGGTAAAACTAATGAAATCAACTCTGCAAATGTGTGTGTTTATACAAATGCTTTGTACTGAAAGCCCTGTTCTCAAATCTGTCAGTGCATGCTGAAGTTGAGGCTACCAAGAGTAGTTAGTTTCATCACTGAATCCTCTTCTATTTGATGTATTCTATTTGCAAATACAAAGGCAATTTCAGAGGAAGAGATCACCTTTTTTTTTTATATATCAAATGATAATTTCCACGTGGAGAACTGATCGTAGATTCCTAGTTTGGAGCGCAGTACTTTAAGGGACCTGCGATGCAGTAGCTCAGCTGCGTTCCAGGAAAGGAGAAAGCCCTGAAGCTATTTAATTTTTTACAGCCGTAAACTCACTGTTTCACTAAGAGTGAAATAAAAGCATGGAGGAGACTGTACATAAGCTTGTTTAAAAGGCTGCCATTTAGTACACTTAGGGAGATAATTTGTAATCACAGTTGGTATTACTTTGACTTGAAGTGAAAAGCAATGGTCTCTTCTATGATAAACAATGGTATTATGAGCAGTGAGAGCATTTAAAATAGGTTTATTGCCTTAAGTGAGCTGTGTTCGTATCCTCATGATCCTTCATATCTGTGAATGGGTCAACTTGGCACATTGCCTTTTCCCAGTCTTCATTGCCACAGCAGAAACGTTTTCTGGGCAGCACTTGAAACCTAAGAGCTGTGTTTCCTACTGGGCAGGTATTTAGTGCTGCAAGTTGTGTACCTGCCATCTCTCTTCTGCAGCCTGGGAAAATAAGAGGTGGAAAGATTCAGGGATGTGATTGCTCCATGGAGCAAGTGAGGGAATAGTGCAACCTGCCTGGACTGTTAAATGATTGCTTTAACCTCTGGGCTACATTTCCTATTCAAAGTGCCTTTATTTCAGTAAAATCTACAGCTTCAGCTTATTTCCTCTCTTGTGCATTCACAAAAGCTAGGAAAAGTCTGTGTCATCTGAAAAACAGGCTTGTAGAGCTGAACTAGTAAAGCTGAACTTCTTTGAACAGAAGAAAATAAGATAGGAGGCAGCTTCTAAAAGAAAAAATAAGGATGTATTGAAAATTCCAATAGTAAACACAACTAAATTATCTTAGAGTTTTGAGATGGGAAGTGTTCAAATTACATTTTTGAATCAAAGGGACTTTTGTTCCATAGTAAGCTTTTTAGAACTCATTGCTCGTGTTGATCTTCCACAGCTAGCACTCCAGAGCTTTGAAACCATACAGAAGCTACTCAAGGTAAGAATTTCATTCTCTATTTTCATCTTGCTTAGTCCTTGAGCTTGTTGAATGCTAAGCTAGTTCCTTCCTTTAAAGTCAACTGAGAGTTTAAGGGAATGCAGCATCTGGCGAGATGTATGGTCCTTAAAGATAAATCTGCCTGTCTTTAAGTGCATTTAATTCCCCTGTGGCGTATTTTCAACTATTAAATGAACAGTGACGTGATTAATTATGCTACCTTAGACAGTTGCACGTGTTTTCATAAACACACTGGATTTTGCAATGCTTTGTTTTCAGTAGTAACTGTTATTTTCCTCTAAGTTATGAATGGAAATGCTCGATAGGACAGTATCATTTCAGTGAAACTCTAACACTAGACAACTGGTTTTCACGTGGGGAACAAAACTTGGAAAAGTACTTTGTCAGTTGCCTGAGTTGAGAAATTAGAAGGTTTTTAAAGTGATTTTGTTGTTGCTTTCATTCTGATTGTAGCAGAGTATCTTACCCACAGCCTGAGGGGATCTAAATAGTTTATCTGGTCCTTAGTCCCACCGATCTTCTATTATTTGAAATAGTAAGGCACTTTCAAGTTGTTTTTGTTTCTGCCCTGAAATTATCAAGTACCATTTTTTTTTTTGCATTGTGTCGAGATTTAAAACACTTCAGTCTTTTTTTCCATAGCAATTTGGAGTCATGATGAGTGGACTTTTGATGTGGAATTTGAATCTTTTAGCACTGGACAATGTTGTTCCATAAGGACCCCAAGGAGCTAAACATAATCTTCAAAGAAAGATGCCTGGATTGGTCCTCTTAGATTTCTCTTTGTTATGTATAAACTAGAGTAGCCACAGGTCCAGTTTAAAATCCAAACCAGGAGATTTAGATCACGGTCTGACTGACCTTGGAAGGGCTGTGGGAGACCAGGGGATGTGTAATTTTCCTTTGTAATTACTGAGGGCAAAAGGAGGCTCTTTGAGCTATTTTTGAGACGCTTACACAAACTCCAGCTGCAGAGGTTGTTTTGTGTTGTTCTTGCTTGGACATCTTGCTCCCTGAAAGGAGCTCTTTTATAGACAACTGCATCATCAGAACTTTCTGGCAAGCAATGACCTATGCAGATTTAAGCCTATTTACCTGTCACATGTTTGTACAGTCCTTTTAATTTGTGCCCTGCTTCTGTCCCACATTGTTACCTCTTGAGGAAGGCAGTGACAATTCTGTGTTTTGATAATCTCCAGTGTGAAAATTGGGGAACATTGGATTCAGTGAAGACTTGGGCCTCGTTAAATAGCAAGAACTGCCAGTATCAGTGAGACTGACATTTAATGTGCGCGGACGTGGTGTGTGCTTGTGGTTGTGTGTTCATACCTTTAACTTTGAAGGTGTTATTTTTCATGAATCTTGCTTGGCCACAGGAGGATGTTGCTTAAAGGCAAGATGAAGAAAAAGCGTTATAGCTTGTCTTTGAACATTTAGGCTACATGGGAAGAAGAAAAAGAATTATTATTGTCTTACTGGAAGTAGTGCAAAAATGATTGCATTTCGATCTTCCCAGGGTGGGAAGCAAGTTACAAGGCTAGAATTAAAGGTACCATTGATATTTAGCTGTGGGTGAGATGGTGCATGTAGACTTTGTCTGATAGATCAGATAAAACACACACTGCTCACAGTCCCTGTCCGCTCTGTTTTTGTCAAGAAAAATCAGTTTTGGATTAGAGACTGTCTCTTTATTAAGAAGATTACATCTTGGGCTTGGGTTTCTTTTCTGTAGCCATTCACCTGGATCGTGCCTGGAGTGCTAATGGGGGGAGAAAAAAGAAAATCAGAAAAAGCCAGGTAGGAAGCCAACTTTTAAATTTGTGTTTTGGGTTCCTCTTCTGCTATAGAGCCTTTCCTTTGGAGTGAGAGGATCGTGACTTTGGCTCAAGCTGTGATCCCCTTACAACTTACACAGACACAGTCAGCAGGAAGTCTTCCCTTCCCTCAGTTGGATCCATTTCTATAATGTGGATGAGCCTTCTGAGGAGATGATCCCTTGTGTCAGTATTTTTTTTTCCACCTCTGACAAGCACCTGTATTTACTTACTATGAAGTGCTGTCTACAGCATTTGTTATGGGGGAAATTGCTTTTCTGGAGAAAGGATTTAATGGAGTTAAGTCTTGTTCTTTTTCCCCTTTCATAAATCAAATTGTAAGCTAACAATCCAAAGTGGAATTTTCATTTTTCAATCTATTAGCATACACAAAATGAACTTACTTTTGAGAGTAAAAAGTATTCAATTAAAAAACCTTCCTTGACTGTTTTTGATCTTTTTTCCTTTTTTTTTTTTTTTCTTTTTTAATATTGCTTCTTTTCACCTTGCCTTTACTGATGAGTATGCCTCTGTGAATATCAGCAATGATGCAGGATAAGTTTACTGCATAGCTAAATATTCAGTTTTAACTAGACACAAAGTATTGACTCTGCTGCTTTCACTATGGCCATGATTACTCCTTTGTATATTGAAGTTCCTTGCTCTGAGGGGTTCCTATTATTGATTGTCTGTATATTTTCTTTATTGAATCTGCACCCCCAACAGATTACGTAAAGGGATAAATATCCTTATTTCAACTCCTGGTCGCTTGGTTGATCATATCAAGTCCACAGAATGTATTCATTTTCGTCGCACTCAGTGGCTGATTATTGATGAAGCAGACAGGTAACTTCAAAGTTTAAATATGAACAAAATTAACAAGATCTTCTACATGTACACTGGATAATGTATTAAATAATTAAAAAAAAAAAAGAGGAAGAAAGATCTTAACTACTTCATCCTCCAGGGCATTAGCCTAACACCAAATACACAGAGTTAGGAAGAAAAGATCCTTTTGGACAGGTTATTCTACAGCTTTTTATTGCAGAGCTTTTTCCACTGTCTTCTGAAATATCTGACCATGGCCAAAGTTGAAAATTGAATATGAAGCTAGCCAGGCCAAAGGTCTCATCTGCTCTGATATTTTCTCTACTCCTAATTAGCTTGTGCAGCCTTAAGACTTTCTTCTCTTTGTTCTTTCCTATGCCATTTTTTCCCATCTCTTCCATTTTTGCAGGATCTTGGACCTGGGCTTTGAGAAGGATGTTGCTGTGATACTCAATGCTCTAAATGCTGAGAGAGAAACACGCCAGAATGTCCTGCTTTCAGCCACCCTCACAGAAGGTAACTTAAAGACAGATAGTATCTCCTTTAGCTTACTAATTCACAGGCAGTTGCAAAAGGTTTGATTGAGCCTAGTTATATTATGGCTCAGGCTGAAGAACTTTGCAGTAAGTGAGATATTGTCCATTAATTTCATTGGCCTTACAACACTTTTGGTACTGGGATTTCTGTCAGCCTATGTTTACGTGGTTCTTACAGGTGACACAAATTCCAGTGCAAAGTCACCAAGAGGCTGGGGCACGTGGTCTTTTGCTCTTACAGATTGTTATTTATGTGATAATATCATCACCGATTATACCCAAGATGGGCCTTCATGTGTATTATATATTCTGTGGTTTAGGAGTAACACGACTGGCTGATATCAGTTTGAATGATCCCATCAGAATTTCCATAGCAGATAAAATCCAGGACAGGCTCAAACCTGCATCACAAGAAGATAAAGAAGCCACTAGTTCATCAACCTTCATGGACCAGGAAAAGTTTGCCGTTCCGGAGAAGCTGAAGCAGTATTTCCTCATGGTCCCCAGCAAACTGAGGCTTGTCACCTTGGCAGCTTTTATCCTTGAGAAGTGCAAGGTGAGACTCTATTTGCATTTATATCACTAAGTGGCTCTTTGTCCTTTCCGGCTCCTGTATCTCTTCCTTTATCAAGGATAGCGTGTATTAGATCTAGGACTTGAAACTGTGTGTACAGTTAGCCAGAAGAGAGCTGTGCTGTTCTTCGGTCTTTCATGCTGAAAAATGAGATAATTTTTGCCCACATACACTCGTGCTTCTTCTGTGGTCTTAGCATTTGCTGTCAAACTTTGTCACATATTTCCCTAAAAAGTTGCGTCTCCAGAAGTGATACCTATCACTTAGATATCATATCAAAGATAAGAGTTTTCTTTTGTTTTGCTTTCTTGCAGTTTGAAAAAGGCAATAAGATGATTATCTTTTTCTCCAGCTGTGAACAAGTAGAATTCTACTATAAGCTTCTCCTAACGGTCCTTTCAGGAGATCTAGAGTCTGAACAACATGAACATTTCTCTGTATCCTCTACACACCTTCAGTTTCTACGATTGCATGGCAACATGGAACAGGAAGTAAGCATTACTAAAAATTTGAGATATCCGGTTTTGTTCCTGAGTCCATATAATTTATTGTGTGGTTATTCTGGGGAGGAGGGCAGAAGAGAGGACAGAGAGTCATTTCACCTCTAGAGGCCTCACTCTTCCATCTGCTTAGGAGAACAAGGATATTAGCCCACTTGTGATATAGCTGCTAAAGTTCTTTCCAGAAGAACACAGCTGAAGAAGCAAAAGATATTTCAGCAGGCTGAGGCAGCCGCTCAGTGTTCCCAGTGGGCACACTTAAACCATTTATGTATCCATGCCTCTCTCTCTCATGCAGTCAAAAAGTGCTTTTACTAGTATAAAGAACCTCATACAAGCCCCAAAACATTGTCACCTAATAAATTGTATCCTATTGCTAACTGTTTTTTTTTTCCTGAAGTGTGTCAGTAGGCAGCTGTCTTCTCTGGCATATGGCAGTAACTCTGGGTTTTAGCAGGATGGGTTTAGATGATTAGCATGGGGTTTGCCATAGAGAATGTAGAAGTCAGGAGAAGAGTTACTTATCACATAAGCTGTTACTGCAGTGGATCTTGAATAGCTGAAGGAGCTCCCTTGAAAGTTCATCCCTTGTTCCTGCTCTTGATCTGTGCTGGAGAGAGTTATTGTTCTATTCTGAGCTGCACAGCAGAGATGCTAAATGAATAGAGCGCTTCTGATGAAGCCAGAGGTGAAGAGCCATTGTTTTTCTCACTCATTCCCATCCTGTGGAGACCAGAAACATGTGCTTTGTTGTCCCTGCGTTCTGGCCTTTCCTCAGCCTGCCTGCCTGAGCGAGGGAGCAGGCCTGGGCTGGCCCGACTCTACCCTGACCAGCTGTTAAGGCAACAGAACACCACTAAGTAGCTGGCACCAGGGGAAGGGTTTTGCCTTTTTAGTACCCAGTGTGTAATTAGTGCTTGATGTCTTCAAATTAAGAGCATTAATGGAGCTAAATTGTGGATCCCATATGGTACTGCTGAGCACGGCTGCTGTCATTGTCAACAAGATACAGCGTACTCTCTTCTTTAATTTTTGTCAGCAGAGGGTTCAGTGTGTCAGCAAGACCCAAGTTTCCCTTTTTTCTTGAGGAATACGTCTAGCTGGAAGTGAAGCGTGCAAGATTGCTCCTATACCATCAGTGTAGCAGGCCGTTCACTTAATTCCTAGCCAGAGCTCAAAGAGGAAGGCTGGGAATATGGAGACAAGGATATTTTGGAAGGAGGTGCAGGAAGGATAGGCAGAAAACAGGTATTTTTTGAAGCCTCAGGCCATCTGAGCTATGGAAATGGAAAGAGTAAATGGAATAAGCAGAGGAGCCGCATATGCAATCATTTCCTCTAGGAAATTCCTCCTCAAGAGGAGAAATGTGAATGAGTGGTACTGGCAAGCATGGAGATCAGATGCTATTGAGGCCTCTGGTTGCTGGTGCTTAAGAGTTTACCCTACTTGATAGCAAATATCGTAGGCACCTGATGGGACCAGTGTCCTGAACTGTCCACAGTTCTACCCCTGTGTGACCAAAATGGATTTATCCACTGTCCCTGTTGTGTGACTGGACAGGTGCAGGTCAAGGGACCACTGCAGACCCAACCTGGACTTTCATTTGCAAGAAGACTTCAACTGCAGCTCTTGGAGTGAATTCCTTTGCTTTGGAAAATAAACATAATGAATAGGGCACAGTAATTAAACTATTACATTAGCCAATATGTTTTATGCTGGTTGTAATGTGCACTTTATTGCTTTTCTTAATCCTCTAGGAAAGAACTGAGGTGTTCCAGGAGTTTCTAAAATCGAAGACTGGCATCTTACTTTGCACTGTAAGTAACATACAGTCCTTCTGCAGCTACGCACTAGTGGGCCTGCATGGTATCTAATGGTAGAACAGGGGAATTGGCACTGAGCTCTAATTCTAGCTCACCATCTGACCTTGAGAGAAGTCATCTCTTTTAAAGTAAGGACTGGTACCCTCTGTAGAAACAATTCTATAATCTTTTGCTATAAGGTACTGTCTTAAAAAAAAAGTATATATCCTCTTATATGAGATCCTCCTAGTATTTTACATGGCCTTATGTCTGGAAAAAATCTGTTCATTTGAAGCTGGAACTTTGCCCTCTATGTGCAGTCAATAAAAAGCAATCCTGATTTGTAGCGTGCCCCATAACTGCCACGTAAATTGCATGTACTGTGATGTTTCCCATCTTAATGACTACCCCAAGGTTAAAAACAAAACCCTGCAGGGATGGAAAGGGAGCCCAAGCAGAGCACCCTGTCATTAGAAATACACATGCTTTGCTGCTCTCCATGTTTTGCCCTTCAAGCCACCTTCGAGGGTGCTTGGGGAGAAATTGTCCTCTACTGAAGTTTGCTGGCACCCTTGTGTTGTGGTGGCACCTTCCGCTTCTCGTTTCTGCCCTGTCGGTGCCACAGCCAGCCTGCTGCAGTGGTGCAGAAGGCTGCACGATTTGCTCTCTAATAGTGGCAGCTGTTGATCTGAAAATGTGTGAATCTTGGCGATTTCTACCCACTGCAAACTTGTAAATTACAGCGATCGGGAGTAATTAGAGCTGAGAAAGCCTCTCCAGCTCTGAAATGACTCCTCTTCTTACAGTACATACTCTTAAAGGAAACTAGTTGTCTTTTTTATTTTCTTTTTTCTTTCTGTCTCAGAGTGGGCACTTTCATTTTTTTAAGCCTATGAATCAAAGTAGGACTGACATTTATGTAGAAGTGTTTGACTTAAAATTGCCAGATGACATATTGTAGCACCTGTGAAAATGGACTTGTCACATATTAGCCTTGGCCCTGTGTGTGTTCAGCCTTTGCATTTTGACCTTGATCAGACCACTGCATCTTTGCAGTGCATAATTCTTAATTTCCTGCTGTATGGAGGTAAAACTTAAGGCGTTCTAAATGCTAGACAGTTTTGTTATCCTTCACGCACATCCTAACAGGAATGGGAAATTTCAGGGATGTGTCTTGTTACTGAAATTTCACTTTACTGATTTAAGGAAGACTGAGAAGACTCAGTTTTAGGCAAAGAGAAAGCAGAATCATTGTAATGACTATCTTGTGTTTCACTGCCATATTGGTTGCTGGGTCAAACAATTTGAAGGAAAATGCAGCCTTTTCAGGAAAAAATCTGCCCGGAAATGTGCAGCTGTTGATAAGATATCGAGAAGAATAAGCTGAATAAAGCAATCCCAGTGGATGGAGTCCCACCTTGAGTCATTGGGGATATAGTTTGGTTTCCTGCCATGCCACTGACTCCACCGAAGTAGATGTGGAGTTGTGATGCCAATGCAAGTAGCCACATGTCAGCTGAGCACTGATAGTTTGCTCCTGATCTGTCACAAATGGGAGGTAAGGTGAATTATCTTGGATTGCAGTGGAGTGATGTAAGATGATGTGTTTATCATAACCCGCCTTTCTTGCAGTCTAAGCTACTTTGTATTTACTGCAAGGCAGGAATGCAAGTCCACGCAGTTACTGTGGCTCAGCTGGCATGTGGTTAGTGTGATAAGCTGATAAGTAAGGTCCAAAATCTCTGTGCTTCAGCTCTCCATCTGCAAAATGGGGAAAGTAGCGCTCTTTTACCTTACAGAGATGTTGGGAGGACAAATGCATTGAAACCAGGAGGTGGCCTGTTACCACAGTAATGGGGACCATATGGACGCCTTAATATAGAGATACACTTTGCACTAGGCCCACATTACAGGTGCCTCCCCAACGCAGATGTCCAAAGGGCAGCCAGGCACTGTGACCACCTCCTGCCTCGGAGGGCATTGCTTTTTCTGACACTGTTCTTCATATCAGCAAAAAAAAAGAGAAATGTTTTGCAGGAAGATGGTTCTGTCCTTTTCACCGTGGAATTGTGTATGTGAATTTATGACCACAAATTTTGGAAACCTAGCTCACAAAAGACTAAAGCAAATAATGTTACTGTCCTCTCCTTGTCCCTTATGCCATGTTCTCCACCCATCTTTCCGCTCTAGTAAGCAATGGGACCTGCTGTTCCTTTTATTAATTTGCTCTATGTCATATGTATATTAATATAGTCCATAAAATATTTTTGCCAAACAAAACAGGCTGGCAGACAAGAAAAGAAGGGCCACATATCTCAGAGGGTCTCATCCAGATTTATTTCTCTCTCCTTCAGCGAAGTTCTTTGCAGCTTCCTTTGGGATGTGCCTTTTAAACAAGTTCATCTCTTCCAGGGAGAGAGGAAAGATCATTTGGAGATTGTTTGCTGTTTACTCGGTCACGCTAACTCATCTTGCCAGTTTTCTGGCGGCCCCAGCCAAGAGCTTTCGCCTCTGACAGCTTCTGTGCTCTCTCCTTCCTCCTCTGATTACGCAGCCCAATCTGTCACCCTGCCGACGGGGGTCTCTACCCTGCTGATGGCTTTCCACACTCAGCAGTAATGACTTTTGGCAGGCCGGGAAGGCGCGAGAGCTTCTTCCCCAGCTTGGAGAGCCGTTAGGCCCTCTCTGCCTGTTAGCTAAAGCACTTTGTGAGGTTCTTTGGTAAATAAATGAGTCATTTTAATCCAACTGACAGCCTGGCACCTGAGCAAGCTGCCTTCCATCTGTACTTCTAGGCCACATGTAGGCAGCCAATTGTCAAGCGCAGGGCCTTCAAGACCTCACCATTGAGTGTCTTTCAAAAGCAACTTTAGCAATTTCCTTTGCCCTAATTAGGTTGCCTGAGAGGGACGGAGCAAACCAAGGCCCTCGCACAGGTTTTGTGGCCCTGCTGGTTCTCATGGTCTGTGGCCATGGGCCTTGCTTTCCACGTAGCCTTTTTGCCCTCCGTTCCCTTGCCTTGGTTCCTCACCATTCCTGTCCCAGGCAATGTGTAAGACTGGAAATAAGAATTGTAAGGAGTGGAAATTTCAGCAACTGTAGGGTCTTCATGTGGGTTTTACCTTGATATTGGGCCTTTCTGTGGCTCCCAGTTGGGATCAGGCCAGGAACATGGTTAAGGCTCCTGGTTACTGTGTTTGATTGGTGTCTGGGTTTTCCTTAAAATGGGACTGATGTAGTTTCTTTCTCTTTGCTCCTGTGAGATATTGCCTTAATGCTCCTTTCTGTTATCCACTGAACGGAATTGGCAGGGAATTGTTGAGATGTCGTATTCTTGATATCCCTCTACTGCAAAATGGTTGTGCAGGGTGATGTATGGTAAGGGGAATGCCATCTACATTGCATTTCCAATATAGTAAAGGATAGTAAATGGAAAATCCATTGGGCTTCTTGGGAATCATTACCAGCAGCCACATGCTTTTGTGTATAGAATAAATGTAGTGCTAGGAAAACTGAGTAATTTTTGCTTGATTGATTTCCTCATAAGATGACCCAAAAGCATCTTCTAAAGAGAGCAAGCAAGAGCTTTGAGAAGCAAGAAGCTTATGGGTTTTACGAGCAGAGGAAGGCAAATCAACTCTGACTCTGTATCCTAATGCAGCTTTGCTGCTGTCTAGCAAGAACTTTGAGGAAAAGGATAGGCAGGAGATGCAGGTGGATTGATACTAGAGGAGTCTTTGAGAGTCTGCAAAACACTCCAATTGCCAGTAAATCCCAAGACACTTCTGAAAGAAGGCCAAGGTAAAACCCAAGAGAATAACTACTGATACATGTCAGTAACAGCAAGGGGAGCTACAGCTTTGTGAAAACAACAGTGAACACAAGGCTGTTGGTGGGATCATGCCACCTCCTGAAAATGTTGTTCCTGGCTGTTTGCTAGGCCGTCAGTTAACCTTCCAGGTATTATATTTGCATTGGCAAATGTACATGGGAGAAATTCTGTGTCGCAGCAGTGGTTTCCTAGCCAGAGCTGTTGAGAAAAGGTGCTTTGGAAGTTGGGAGGGGGAGGAACCCTGGATGGCTGAAGAGGTTTGACTGCCTTGGGGTGACAGAAAGGCTCCTGCAGTCTGCTCTCACCCTGTCCCAAGGTCAGAGCCCTCTCTTCAGCCACAGCCTTTCCTAGACCGCTATGGAAAAGGAAGCATGGTAGGAAGAAAGAGCAAAAGCCCCCAACTATTCAGCATAGAAGTGTACAACAGAGCCAAACAAGAGTCAGCATTCAGCGCTCCTGTTTGATCGCACTGTAGAGTTTATAAGCTTATTATCTTGGTAACTGCTGCACATGTTTCCTGAATTCTCTTGATTTATTTTCTCCAACCTCCTTTAAATGCCTTTTTGTGCATCTGTTCATCTGACTCTGGGAACAAGTCATTTCTTAATGAGCGTGCTGGAGCGAGCGTGTGCATTGTTCAGAGTGGGCGCTGCGGAATACGTCTCCTCTTCTGCAGTTGGAGCCACAAAGCAACCTGGCTAGTGCTTCTGGGAAGGCCTTTGCTGCCAAAACATCAGCTTCCCAGTCTTTTAACGTGTGTGAGAGTTGCCTGAAAACACTTCAGTGGGTGGCTGACACATTTTTAGTACATTAAGCTCCTGCTTACGTTCTTAATATATTCTATTTTGCAACTAGCTAAAAGATACACGTGTTCCAAAACATTTCCTAACAGAGTTAAATCTGCACACCTGCTCTGTCTTGTGCGTGGTGAATGTAAAATCCAAAGAGTATGTGAGGACATTACTAATGAACAGAAAATCAAGAAGGAGATTGAAACACCTTTGCACGCTTCCTCTGTTCTTTGAACAATATTTAAGCTCTCCTTTCTCCTTGAAGGGGCATGTTTTATGAACTGTACTGGCTGTGGGTAACTAAAGGGTCTCACTCATGACCTTCTCCACATTGATGGGTTTTCTCACCTGCTGGCCCATCAAATAACACTCCTCACAGCAGCTCCAGACTCCTTTTCTTCAAAGAAATTGAAGAAAATCCTGAATTTCTTAAGAAGAAATTCTTTCTGAATTTCATTTCTCCAAATCAAAGGCAGCTTGGTGCAACTCTAAGGGGTAGCTGAAGTCCCCTCTTTCCAAGCTGTTCTCCAGCTTCCCGCAGTTTCTGCTAAGTTGTTTATTGGCCCTTTTATCATCGGGCTAGCTGACATGCAAGTCATCTGCTCCTCAACTTCAGGGCCATCGCCTGGGAAACAACTAATGAGTTACAGGTGAAGATGAGTGCACATTTGGGTATGCTACTTAAGGCCTGGGATTCTTCCTCATTTGCTGTGTGTCCCTTTTTACCATTAGCAGCAAGTTTTTAGTTCTTGGGTCTACTGTGGAGAGAGTTGTGCTCAGAACTAGTGGTGCTTTCCCAAGGCTAAACTTGGCCTCTCAATGATTAGTAGGTATCTACAAGGAGGGCTGTTTCCCTTAGTGAAGCAAACTGAAGAAGCAAAGCTTGCATTACCACTAAGATGGGAGGTTGTCTGCTGTAATGTAAAGGGACTGTACCAGGGTGCTGTAATTCAACAACACTCTCCTGAAATAGATATATTTATATTCTTCAGCCTTTGGCTCATAGAAATAGAAGATTTTTTATTTTTATTATTGTGTTAGACTGTATTATTACTGTGTTAGACTATTAAAAATCTAAGAAGAGCTATAACTTTGCCAATATTTTCAAAGCATTATTGCCTCAGTAATTTCTTTATGAATTTTAAAGGATGTTGCAGCACGTGGACTAGACCTGCCTCAAGTTACATGGATCGTACAGGTGAGTTTTGTGTGTGTCTATGAGGAAATGCATGTTAAGTGTAGGCTTACTCGCACTAAATCCCATCCCAGTCCACATCCTATTTCTCCAGTTGAATTGTCTTTGCTGATGTCTACAGATATGGGAGGCCCAGTGATTCCCGACTGCAGGATATGGACTCAGGTTTTTGTGGAGACATGGTGTGTCTGTCATGTTCCTGATTTTGACCTTGTTTTCCTCTTCCATAGTTCAAATACTATAAGCTATGTAATGATATTATGCTGGCTGGGAGGAAACACCAAATTCTTTCAAGTTACATCTTTGCCGGGCTGGAGCTGGGGTTAAGTTTGGCCATGAGCACCCCAAGCACCCTCAAAAAAAAAAAAAAAAAAAAAAAGAATGGGGAGGAGGTATTAAGGATTCAGCTGAAGGATTGATTGAACCTTAAGGGCATGAAGTAGATTTCATTTTTATAAAAACAAATGAAATTTAAATTTTAAAGGAGTTGATTGGAAAATTCAGAGGAAAAACTGAGTCGGAGATTCTCACATATCAAGTGACATCAGGCTAAAAAAGAGCAGGGCTCAGAGCCTCAACAAGGCAACCTTTTAATTTCTATCTCATCTCTTCAGGTGACAAACTTGATTTTAATTTTGTGCTTAAAAAAAAAAAAAAGGAGAAAAAAAAAAGTAGAAACTAGTTAGTCAGAGAAGGCTGGGGAAGTGAAGTCTTTAATTCCCAGATCTGTATATTAATATAATTTAACCAAAGATATGGTTGCCAGTGTTAGAACGTAGTGCAAATTACCTCAAGCCCTGGGAGACTTCTGTGTGTCCAGAAGGCGAAATCTCAGCTGTCCTGAGAGCTGTGTCCAAGAGCAAGGACCTGCAGGGAGCAATTAGATTGCTCACAGCATCTTACTCACACCTCTAGCCAGTAGAAACTTTGCCAGAGGGCACAGGTATAAACACTAGAGTGGGCTTTGGTTGTTGGTTTTTTTCCAGTTAAACTGCTGAGGGCTCCTTTCTGAGCAGTATCTCTGTGCAATGTTCCTTTTTCCAGGAAAGGGAGAAGAACAGGGGGAAGGTTAAAGGGAGGGAAATATGCCACCCTTGATCAGATCTTGCAAATGGCTGGGCATTTTTGATTCCCACTGAAGTAAATGAGGCACCGTTATATTAGTGGGGACTTTAACCATTTCCATAGTGCCTGATAGTTGTAGATGGGCAGACAACTGCTGCCTGTATCATATGCTATTTTTAGGACTTATTCCCCACCTACCCTAGGTTTCTCTCTCTATCCAATAACCAGCTACGGTTCACTTTAATCAAAACAACTTAATCGACCTCTAAATTTGAATGTGTTGTCTTTTATTTTCTGTCTTTCCTCCCAAAAGCAGAGCAAACAGCTTTTTTCCTTTTCTTTTTAAGGGAAGCAAACAAGTTCCTGACGTGCACGTATAGAAATAGAATGTAAAAGGCAAAGAGAGACACTGAGATGGGGAAACTGTCCTATTATCTGAAAGTCGGCCAATGTGTCACATTCAAATGTCAAAAAACTGCTGTGGCTGAGGGGGTTGAGTGATGGTTACAGGGATGAGTCCAACGGGTTCCTGATAAACAGACCGGGAGGAGCGGCATATGGGTTCTGCTAAGATCCCTTTTGTTTCAGATGAGCAGACCAAGCGTCTCGTTTATAATTAACACGCTGTGTCCTGTTAATTCCTCCTTTCCCTTCTCATGTTCCCTTTTTTGAAGTATAACGCTCCGGCTTCACCTGCGGAATACATCCACCGGATTGGGAGGACGGCTCGCATTGGCTGTCACGGGAACAGCCTGCTTGTCCTGGCGCCTTCGGAGGCAGAATATGTCAGCTTGCTGGCTTCTCACAAGATTAAGTGAGTCAGAAACGCGAACAAAAGTTTCAGCTCATCCTCGCTAATTAACCTTCCATGGCACTTGCAGCGGGACTGTATCTCGTGCAGGTTTTAATAAGAATTTATTAATTTTTGTGATCCAGGACCAGCCCCAGAATAGCAAAAGGAGAGAAGGAAAGTGTGTGAAAATCATCAGCCTGACAGATTGCGAGCACGTGTGCGGCGAGGGGCAGAGAGGAGCCGGGAGCCGGAGATCCTTTGCACTCCGTTGTTATCTCTGTGGCCCTGGGTTCAAATCATGGCTACGTGGAGATCACAAGTCAAATGAGCCTGTCAAATGCTAACTGGCCATCTGCCTGCAAAGCACCATATTGTCGGAGCTTGTGCTCTCTCTTCAGGAGAGATCCGGCAGCGAAATAGCTAGGGAGCTGTGGGTCATATCTGGCAGGTAATTGGCCCAGATTTGCTGGGTAAGTGGCTTGTGACAGGAATAGAAGAAGTTCTTGCACATGGTCAGTGCTCGATATGGCCCTGGAAGGCAGGCAGGGAGGAGGACTCTGCAGATCAGAAACGGGATGTGCTCCCAAACTAGCTGAGAAAGCTGCTCTGGTAGCAGCCCTGGCTAGGGTGGGAGTAGAGATTAAGGCGAGCAAGCCAAGCCAGTAAGCAGCAGCCCAATATGCAGTCTACCTATTTGATAGCCAACACATGAGGCAGTTCTAGGCCAGCTCTGCCATGGTCTCTTTTTTTAAAACACACAAACACAAGCCCAGTATTCTGCTCTAGTCACAAGTGCTCTCAGGTCTCCAGGCTCTTCAGCATCCACTTGGATTTATGTGCTGCCTCTTGCTCCCTGCATCGCTGCCTCTTGGTATTTCAGAACAACAGCCTAGCAAAGTCCCTTTAGTGTTGTGCTAGTGCTGATGGAGCCCTGTAAACTCACGCACAAATTAGTTCCCTTTTATTTCTTGTGTTTGTCAGGTGGAGCTGCTTGGAGTCGAATTTGGTTTTGCATCCTTGAAATAAACAAATGTTGGCAGTAAATACAGGCTTATTCTAGGCTGTGAGCCATTTAGTGGTCTAACAAAGAGCCATCCATCATCCCAGGTAACTATCTATTAAGCAGACACCAGCAAGGCATGGAGGGCTAAGCTGACAGGGCTTTTTTCATGTAACAAACAGCACTGACATTTAAAGGTGAAATCCCACATAATTGTGAATTTTTAACTCCGAGGGGAAAGTTCTTTTTTTTTTTTTTTTTTTTTTTTTTTTTTTTTTTT